ACCACCGGGCAAGTCAATATTTTTCATTAACTTATTCTAAAAATATCCAATTTATTTAGCTTTCATTCGGAGATGTCGCTTTGATCATTTCAGTTTGGAACTATCAAGTTCCGATGCGTAAATAATCATCACTTAATCTTAACTATTCAGGTGTTCATATCCTCCGTTCATGCATTCAAAATAATTCGACTTAAGCAATTATGATTCTGTGGAAGAAAAGAAAACGTACCTTATAGATCTTTATTTATTATTTTTTTTTTTTTTCGTTGAAAATAAAGACAAAGCACTTTTTCTGCAGATTGTAAATAAAATACTATGATTATTTAAAACATTGAATTATAGAAAATTATAAAAAATATAGTATTATAATTTTTTAATAAATATTTCCTTAATAAACATTTTGTATGAAAATTGTGTTGTTTAGCTTTGGTATTAAATTGAGAGCAAACTTTTGGAATCTTCTAAACAACAATTTATTGTTTGACAAATGTTTGAACAGATTTAAGAAAAAAATTCATAGACTTTAAGAAATTCAATGGAATTTAATTTAGTGCATGAGAATTTTTTGTATTTGTTTGTTCAAGCAAAGTCATTACTAGACTTGGGCAAAAAACTTTGTCTGTCTCTTGAAATATTCTCTTTCTGCGAGGCACCTATAAAACTAGATAACTTAGAATCCCGTTTAATATTCGCTTAGTTTATTAAAATCAATATGTATTTTTCCTTCGAATTCCATTCATAAGAACAGAAAACTAAAACATTCTTTTTATGTTACTATTTATATTATTAATTTTGTTTTCAAATTCTTGTTAATTTTTAAGTTATATAACTGATATATCAAGAGCGGAGACTTAAGGAGAAATGAGTTTTGGGTTCAAAAGCTGCTTGTTAAATAATTATGCAAAAATGCTTATGTATGTCTTATTTTATAATTTTGGTGTCTATTAATAGGAATGTGGAGAACATCTTCTTCAGGGGCCAAGATGTCAAATATTCAAAACAAAAATAAACTTAACCCTTTGCTTTTGACTGGTATAATAAATGGACCAGAATGGCTTCATCATTCTAAGCGCCGTAAGCATAAGGTTAACATGTGTATAACTACTAAAAAAGTCCTTTTTGGGTGATCCTGGGCAAGTGCCCCATTGTTTGCTCTTACAAAAGCTCTGTATATAAGGTTTTGTAATTATAAACGAAAAGGTTGAAAAAAAATTTTAGTTTTATTTCGTTTAAATCAAGAAAGAAATATCACCTCCATAAAATAGAATTCCTGAATTACTGTGGCTCCGGTTAAATCGTCATTGTGAGTTTGTGTCCATACTTCATAATCAATGCCATTTACAGTTCTCTGAAATGAAGCATAATGAGTATTCAGGAAATAATATTTTTAAAATACACCATTTTACCAATTAAAAAAAAAAAAAACATTTTTTTACTCTATTTGAATAATTTTCCTCATTCCTTGAAGAACTAATTTCTGAGTTTTCGCATTAAATAATTAATATTTTTTTATTTAGTTGCTCTAAACATTCTTCTCTTCAAAACTTCGATCATCAGTTGAAAAGGTACACTTTTTATTAATGATTTCTTATTAAATATTTCCAGGATATTTTAACAAAGAATGTACGATGATGGTTTAAATGATAGTCGACGATAGTTTCGTAGGCCATTAAGGCAAGGGGTGCGATTGTTCTTGTTTTCCAGTGGCACCATCTATGGACAAGAATTCTACTTCCTCCACACCCATACGAAACACCTGTTTATAGGGCGGAACCATTCATACATCCACTCAACGCAATTTTGACTTGAACCAGAGAAGAATCAATCTACAATTCAGTAGGACTTTGTGACCCGACAGATTTAGCATGCAACAATCACCATTTACTACACGGGGAGTCTTCGGTTGGTTGGAATCGAACTCCCGTCCTTACAAACGAGATTCCAGCCCTCTGGCAATTAGGCTATCCCAGCGCCATGATAGTTTGTTCATACTATATATGATAATGATACCTAGTACGCAAATATGTCGATTTTTGAATAGGCATAGTTTCTAGTAAAATGAGATGTAAAAATTTGGTTAAATAATTTGCTCTGGATTTGAACCTATTTGTTTTTATAATACTTATAAGCTTTGAACCTGCATTTTTAAACAAACATAAACGCTACGTATAACACATTTATTTTCAACCAAGGTAAAATATATAGCTTTTTCACTGCATAGATACATAAACATTGACACAATATGTTTCTGTATAGAACGCTAATGAGGAGATTTATATTTTAACAACAGCGTTAACTACAATATTTTGTTAATTTTACAGCTCTGTACAGCGTAGAACGTCATCAGATGGCAATTTTTGTTTATTTTAAGCTTCCTTAAAGCTAACAGAGTCAAATAATTTCTACTTTATCACTAGTTTTGAAAATTCTGCTAAAAACTCTTATACCTATCATTCTAATATGCAATTATTTCATTATTTTTCTAAAAATATTAAAGAATAAATTTGTTTCTATACTGTATACACGATGTAGGATTATTCATATTACTCTTTAGGTACTAGTATTTTTATTTATTTATTTTATTTCCAATGAGNATCAGTCTTGCCGATGAGCAGACCTAGTGCGTTCTCCAGAAGTGGTATCCACTCTTTCAAGATCACCACAATTGGTGAGATACCGTTGGCCATGTTAATTTGGACGTCTAGTTTCTGCCACACTAGATGGCAGCACCAAAACTCTTATTTGGATGCTAACGTGCACTAGAAATTTAATTTTGCCGGAAATGCCAACTACTACTGCTAGTACTAGTATGCCAGGTACCAGTATTAAGTGCTATATTAGACACTGTTTAGATACTTAGTAAATTTTTTCAACAGAAAATACCCTTTGCTAAGAACTACCACAAAAGGAAGCAAAGAAATATGTCTTCATTCATAAATTTGTTGTATTTAATACAAATGTAAATGATATTTTTACATTTATTTGAAACCAATAGTAAAATAGTAATTTTTGCATGACGCATTTTCTACAATAATAATTATTTATCTTACTTTTCCTACATACGAAGCACTCTTCTCTTCAGGCGTTTTTGCAAAGAAGATTTTTGGCAATGGAGTAATCTCATCTAAAGGAGTGTTTCTTTTAAGAAATACTGCTTTGCACATGGGCGATATGGCAGTAATAGTATAAGATACTCCTAAAAAGCAAAAATGCATCATATTTTTTAAAAAAAGGAATGTAAGAACAATGAATAGTTCAAGGAAATGGTTGATATCAAATTATAAAATTTATATTTACTGCCATAAAAATCAAATATTCTAGTTCCTTCTATGAAACCTTCGTCATCAAACTCGTCCAATCGAACTAATTTTAATTTGGTATCATGCCAAATCTAAAAAAAAGGGGGGGGGGGAATTGGGTAAATATTGTGCAAAAATGGAATA